GGCTGCGAGTCCCAACCCGGCGATTTCTCGACTGATGTCAATCAACTCGCTAACACTTTTCTTAGCTAAGGGAGCGTTGAGGGAATGGAACAGGATGCAATCGTAGGGCGCTATGCCAGGAGAATATGGTTTAGGGTATAGTCCTCCAGCTATGCTCCTAAATTTCCTGGTAGGTCTCGGTGTGAGGTCTCACGCCTCAGGTGCCCAAAGCTAGTCGCCGTAATTTCTCGAATAGTTATTCTGGGTTGTTGGATTCAAACGGGCATGGTGATAGCTGCGATCGTGGGTTCTTACATGGGACGCTCGTTGTGCAGCGTTCCTCTAGCCTTGCATGCCGCAGTGCATGCCCGGTTTGGCCTATTAAGTTGGGTTTTCTCCTCGATACAGTCACACGGTGCTGTGCAAAATGTACTCATAGAGTGCTTGTCTTTCATCTCCACTAACCAGTCTCCAAGGAAATCTTTTGAACGAGGGCAGAGAAGAGAAGACTGAATGGGTAGCCGGGTGAACCGCGCGCCATCTGTCAGGGTGTGAGTGATCCATCAAGCCAGTACTTTCCGATAGCCAAGGGCTAAGAGGCGGTTGACAACTGTCAGTTAGGTGCAACCGAGTCTATTCACAAGACCTCCAGACGCTCCTGACGACGGCGGAGTCTTCCATGGCGTGGGGGCGTGGTGACCTACATTTGCCTTCGAAAATGGGTCTGCTTTTGCTAAGCGAGTGAATCAGCAGTGGCCAGTTCTGCTGGTAGTGGTGCCCTCCTTCAATGGACTGTTGATGTTGCGGACAGCTGTCGTATCTCCACTGCCGCGGCACCACTCATAAGAAGGGAAGAGCTGGTATCTCCACACACTTGCGGAAAAACTTCGAGAGAGTTCTCAAGCGTGATATGTTGCGTCGTGCATATGCACCAAGAATCAAAAGCTGTGAGGTATTCAAAAAACACTTACGACTCTCTTTCCAGCCTGAAATTATGTTCTGTCGAGGTGACCCTTATGCTTTGTCTTTACAGTTAAATATACCCTTGCAGTGGTAGTGACTGTTGACCATCATAATGTCGTAGAAGGAAAGAACAAATGAGCCGATCGTCCATTTGTACTCGGCGTTGATGACAGACATAGTTCCACTATCGCCACCATTTTTGGCACGGCTAGAACAGTGAAAAATACGCTAATTCCTTAATGTCTCTACCACCTCCTTGGTAAATGGAAAAAAATTAAAAGCCAGTTGAACGATGACAACCAACAATTGTGAGCCGTAGTGCATAATACTGCCATATTCGTATGGAGTATAGTTGATTACTTCTTCAGCAGTCTTTTTTTCGAAATCACTTGTATAATTTTCCTGAAAATTAAGTTTTTGAAAGTTAAACTTTAAAATGAGATCCACACCGCACATCCAGAAATCTTCTTGTTGCGTAGTAGCAGTTTTTCACTAAGTGATACTCCCTACTTCGCCCGGGTGTGGAAGGCTACTTTCGAGTTGCAGACCATTCACCGGCTATGTCCTCACATAAGTGGGAAGTCCTGATGAAAAGGGATT